AAGGACAAGTAACAATAAGGCCGTATTTTCACCGCCAGCATTTTTTAAAACAATTTTACATGATTAGAGGTGGGTGTGGTTGTGGAATGTGCCTTTGACTGTGATTCTTCTATGTGCACCGATATTCCCACCCTATCTGCAAACTTTACTTGGCCAATAGGTGATGTCCGAGTCAGCATTTTGAAAATGGGCCTGGTATACAATCAATTAATCGAAAAAATTAAAAAGAATACCTTAAATTATTGAATGGTTAGCATAATTGAATGAATCATTATTCTCCCTGACATTAAAGAAGAATTAAAGTATAAAAATTGTAAAAATAATAAATTGAATGGAAATCCTCTAAGATTTTTAATAATGATGAAGCATCAATGTCAGATTCATAAACAATTTAACGAATTTTATTTTAAAAGATCATATTTAGTCCAACGTATGCTTTGATTATTTTTTTTATCTAACTCTTTGAATGCAGCAATTTTTATTTCTCTCTCATTCATACTATTATTCAGGTGTATATCGGTGATTCATTTCACTTATTCCCTAAAAAAAAACTAAATCTGGATCTTATTATATAGCTTGTCAAAATCGATTAGGGAGCGAATTTGAGTCTTGCGTTGACGCGTACACCAGCCTACACCCACATTCTTATGCATATGATGAATCATAGCTTCAATTTGTACCATTTTTGTTACTACAGATATATGCAATTTTGAACAGTAGATATAAATACATATATTGTGTCTCATGATCACCACTACTTAATGTCCTTATATAATCCCTACATATTTTGGACTCCGAATCTGTAGCACAATATAAAGAATGATCGTTAGTTAATGTAGGAGTGGGCTCATTTCTTACCCATACCTGCACTCTTCCTGGTATCAATCCCAACTGAGAAGTTGCTAGAGTCTGAATTAATTTTTCATTACATTGAGATTTGTCTTTGCTATGAGGATCATCTGTTTTCCAAGCAGCATCACTATTAAAAGCCTTAAAAGACCAAGAGATATTTCATATTCACAAGAAAACTACCTGTGACCATGCCTATAACACAAAAATAAGTTAGTGATTTCAAATAACAGTGAAAGAAAAAAAACCTTAGTCACGCTGATCTCTTCCTTCAGAAGCTCTTCTGAGTCATCTAGCTTCCAAAAATCAATTCTTTGCTGTTTATTAATGAGATATAGTGCGAGAGCAAAACAGCAATTTCGACGTCAAAAAGAACTGAAAAAGAAAATCAATAAATGATACTCTCAAGGGTTTGTTTTCAAATGCATACATTTGCATGTCAAACAACTTTAATTATCAAAACCAACAAAAACAAAACTGTTTCTCGATGAACTCTATCCGATAGCTTACATGTATAAACAAAAGAAAGGGAACGAACAATAGATATCATCCGAACATTATTGATTTTCTCATCGGATTGAAATAGTGAACATTATGACATGATCGAAAGTTTGATGAAAGAATTTCTCTCATTAAACTTGACGTTCATCAACGCGTAACAACAAATAAATAGATTGTCATAATAATTCTAGTGCATTTCTCATTTAAACTTACTTCATAATGCATACTCTTGTATTTGTTCTATTTTCAATCAATCCTCTCATCAACTCGAGACACATTCCATTCATTGACAATGTCATACTTGTTCCACTTTCTATCTCAAATAGTACTTTTTCTTACAATCAGACATGTATTGAATGCTTGTGTATGGCTACGCTCTCTATTTCAGCCATAAACTGTTTTCCGAACTATACATGTCAATTCTTTACTAACTTTCCACGTACGTATCGTGTTCAAACGATACCTCAAGGTCGTCTATACTTTCCCAAACAGACACTACCCAACGTTAGTCAATGTTGTATGCCTGATCTGCATGTGCTACTAAG